GCTAGGATAGAATGTGAGTTGTGGGACTAGGTCAATGAGAGGGTGGGGACATGGCCAAGGAGAGGATTGCACAGACTTCTGAGACTGCAGAGGGTGGGGTGCTTTCCCTGTCCTCTCTGATCCCCATCACCCCTGCAGGCCTGCTGCCACAGTGCCAAAAGAGGGAGACATCTTCCTCCTTGAGGCCTAAAGCAAGTGTGGGGGCGGAGGAAGGGCAGGCTACAGCTGCATTTCTGGACCTCCAGAGCATTTACAATGCCCTGGGCTGTCAGCTCCTTGCCCCCGGGACAAGGGATGGGTTGGGGACAAAGAGACCTGGAGATGGAGTGTGTGAAGATCTGCATAGATCTAGGGTAGGCAGTCACCTTCCACCCAGAGGACTGTCACTGGCCAGTGAGTCTGGGGTGGATGGGACTCCTGGGTGTAGGGTGGAGGGATAGGAGGAGGACTCCTGGCTCGGCAGATGTGGTTTGAGAGTGGAGACACAGGCAGATAGGTAAAGAATCTGGGAAAGGCGTGGTGAGCAAAAGAGGCGACACTGTTGACTTCTCATCTCCAATTTTCAGGCTGGGCAATTATGGCAAGGAAGAGTTTTCCCTGGGGAAGGGGGGGATAGGAGGTGTGTACCTGGTGGCTGCTGAGGAAAGAGGAGGGGGGCACTGCTGTGAGCGGCACAAAGCCTTCCCCACCCCCACCCAGCGGGGGAAGGGTGGGCATTGGGGCTCACCCTCCTGTTTCTGTCACTCAGCAGCCCCCCTTCTTCGACCTTGGGACCCGGGTGCGGATGTGCAGTGTGCAGTGTCTGGGCTTGGCCGGGGGCCAGGCAGGAGAGTTGCTCTATGCACCCTGTGTGGGGATGGAGGAATGTGGAGTAACCTGCCCCCAGTGTCAGTGTCAGAGGGTGAGAGCTGAGGAGAGCCAGTTTTGTTGGTGGTAGGGGAAGATCAGAGCCTGGCCTGTCTACCTCCCTTCACTTTTCCTACTGACTGCAGGAAACATGAACTTGGGCTGGGCTCTGAAGCTAGTGAGGCCACAGCCCTCTGGTCTGGGCTCAGTGGGGGCAGGGAGAGGGCTGGGCCTTACGTTCTCTCTACGTGTCCCAGCTCCAATGGCCTGCTTTCCCCTCCTACTGCGATTCACCCTTATGACATCTGCCTTTTGCCAAACTCCAGTAGACTCACCAGGAAACTTTAAACAGATAGATTTCTGGGCCTCATCACTGACCTACAGAATCTGGGGGAAGGACTCTGTATATATATATTTTTAATCCTAACCTGAGGATATTTTTCTATTGCTTTTCAGAGAGAGTGGAAGGGAGAGAGAGAGAGAGAGAGAGAGAGAGAGGGAGAGGTGGGAGAGACACATGGATTGGTTGCCTCCTGCAAGTGCCCCAACCAGGGCGGGGCATCAAGCCTGTAACCAAGATACGAGGTATGCACCCTTGGCTGGAATCAAACCTGGGACCCTTCAGTCCATGGGCCGATGCTCTAATCACTGAGCCAAACCAGCTAGAGCAGGACTCTGTATTTTTAAGAAGCACCCACAGATAATGCTGTGCAAACCAGGCTAGAGACCCATAATAAGCAGATTGAAATCATAAAAGGTCGCTGCCCTGGGAAGGGAGCAGGAAGGTCTGAGCTTCCCTAGACCTCTGGGTCCCCTGCTGACACCTAGCACTCTTGCTTCCCTCTGAGCTGGAATGAGGGGTGTCACTGCTGTCCCCTTCCCATGGTGTCCTCAGCTGCCAGGGCCAAGCACACAGAGGCTATCTAGTGATCGCTGACTGAGTGAATGAGCACTGGATGGCGTGGATGAATGAATGAGTGCATTGGGCTTAGGCGCCCAGGATAGGCCAGGAGAGAATGAGGGAAGACTTTTTACATGGAGCCAGATGTGGGGATGGGGGTGGGGGGCAGAGGGATTTTGAAACAGAAAACCCAGCAAACCCAGGTGGAGGTGGACTTGGCAATGAATGATCCGTAGGATAAAGCTGTGAGGTTCACAGCCCTTCCTGCTAAAGGGCAGAGGGTCCCAGGTTTCCCTGCTTGGGAGGATGGGAGGCCAGTGAGGCAAGGGACAGAGTTCTGGTCCATTCTGGTTGATGGGCTCTGTGACTTGGGCATGTCAATGCCTCTTTCCAGCCTGATATTATCACTGATGCCTGATTTTCAGTTCTCATGTAACGACTTTGAGATGGAAGGAGAGAGGGTTCCAGCTGTGACCATCTAACGTGGGCATGGGCGCTGTGAGAGGCAGGCCCATCCTATGGGTGGCGCTTTTTCAGAGAGATCCAGGTCCTGGCCAGAGGAAAAGGTGGTTCTGCCAGGTACGCCCAAAGCGTCAGAGATGGGGCAGGGAAAATAGGCAGAGGCTCTGCTGAGAAAGGATGCCTGGTGAGGTTGAAGGATATCCCTGCCGGGGAGAATGTGTCTCGTGTTGGTGGGTGAGTTCTGAGCTGGACAGGAAGGAAGACAAGATCAGAGCTCTGTATCTCTCTGCCTGTCCCTGGCTGTCAGTGCCAGCACCTACCCCGTGGTCCTCACAAACCCAGGAGCTCACAGCAACCCCCTCCACCTCTGCCCAGTCATCTGCTCTAGCCTTGATGTTGGTAACTAAACATGGCAAAGGGTCCCAACACAAGGCCTGGCACAAAAGCAGTGTTAATGTTTGCTAAATGAATTAATGAATAAATGAAGAATGAGAATGCTACAGAAAAACAAAAAATTGCTTGGGACTTCCAGCCTGGATATGAAGGGGACAGTGCTCTAAGGAAGTTCTCTGTCTGGCTCAAACAGGGTATATTGGGGTCCTGTCTGGGGTCTGATGATGTCCCTTCTTGTACCAGTCCCCCCTCCCAACCTCCATCCATCAAGTCCTCACCTAATGGTCTGATAGTGGGAGATTATGGCAGTTGGGGCAGACCCTCGGCTTTGGGGATTTCTGCCTTCCCCCTCCACCAGCCTTTGGGCTGACTATTTGCACAAAGACCTCAGCTAGCAGACCCCCTCCTTTTCCTATCACCCTATCCCCTATATATGTGGTATCCAGGCATTTCTGGGGTCAGGGAGAGAAGCAATGATCTTCAAACCAGGCAGGAGGAGGGTGGGAGGGAGCTAACATTTATCAAGAAACTGCAACATGCCAGACCCATTGCCTGTATGACTTTATTTATGATCACGGCCTTGGGGGAGTATGCATTAGCCCCATTTCCCTTCCTGATATAGAGATTGCACACTCCATGAAAATAAGGACCGTGTCTCTGTTGTTTAACACTGGATTCAAGTTCAGGACTTCTCGAATGGGTGGATGGATGGATGGATGGATGGATGAATGGAAAACCTCAAGGGGCTTAGTGCTTATGAGGAGAGAAAACCATGCAAATGCCTGTATGTGGAATAGAGGGTGGAAGGTTCTCTAAGGGAAGGATGTGGGAAAACACGTACCAAGGAGGGTGATGCGGCCTGCTTGGTGGGTGGACAGGAAGGCTTTTTGGAAGAGGAGCTGTTTGAGCTGGGTCCTGGAAGAAGAACGGGAATTTTTCGTGTGAATAGAGGGCATGAGAAGGAAACTGCCTCGGGAAAAGGCCCGGAAGTGTGAGATGCATGACACATTTAGGGAACTACCCGCAGCATCTGAGTGATTGGGGTGGAGGGCGGGGGATCAGAGGGTGCTGCTAGAAGTGAGGCTGGAGCAGAAGGTAGGGGCCAGATCATGGGGGAAGGGGGGTTTCTCATATGCCAAGCCAAGGATAGGCATTGTCTCCTGAGGACTGTGGGGGCCAGTGGAGGTTTCTGTAGGTTTGAAGCAGAGAGATGGGGTTTGATTTAACTTTCAGGAAGATCCCTCGGGCAGCTATGGGGTGGATGGATGGGCAATGTGGGATGCAAAAAACAGGTCAGTGGGGGGCAACCATCAGGCAAGACAGGGCCGTGTCCATGGGGCTGGGGCAGCAGACACAGATGTCTAAGAAGGTACTTGGCAGAACTCCCTGAGAGTCTGGATGCCACCCAAAGGTGTTGGGGCTGTCAGGATCTCTCTGGGGCTTCTGGTCTGAATGGGCTGTTTAGGAAGACGGAGGCCGTGTGTTCAAAAGGCTAACACGGTGCTGGACACTGTTAGCACCATCACGCCTGGAACAAAGCCAAGTCAGTCTGGATGGGGCCCGGTACATTGTGGGGGCCCGGGATGTGTGTGGATTCACAGGGCAGAGCTGGAGAAGATGCAGCAGCAGCTTCTGATAAGAAGTCCTGATAAGGTGGTCGGGCCTTTCTAGTCTGGAAGGAAGGAGGCTAAGGGGGCATGCGGCAGGAGCCTTAGGAAACCAAGATCAGTGAAAAGAAACTGTCTTTCACAGCTCGGCTGTGAATTCCTAGAGGAAGTACAGACTCCAAACACCTGCAGAGGTCTGAGAAATTCCTGGCTGACAGGGCAGGAAGGGGCAGGAGAAGGGTCCTGGAGCTCCAGTGGCCCAGGCTGAGTTTTGGGGAGTTGGGGCAGCCTGAACTTCGCCTTGTCCCACACAGGTCTTGGTGGCCTTGGGCAGCCAGCTCCTGGCTGCAGAGGAACTATGCTCTGTGAGGAGGCAGTGAGGGCCCCTCTCGGGACCTGGTTTCCTCTACTGTAAAAGGGAGGGTTGATCTGCCTTGCAGTGGTCATTTTACTCTATTGATTGAACTAGAGTGGCTCTGGGTTTGGGGATGCATGTGGTGAGGAGAGGAGTGGGGGAAATGGGAGACTGAGAAACAGAAGAGCCACCAGGATCCGGGCCTGGGACCTCAGGGGACCGGGAGCATGGACACAGTCATTCATGGGAGATTTACTGAGAACCATTCCAGGCCCTGGGGATAGAGCAATGAACAGAACAGACCCAGTGCCTGCCCTCGTGTTGCTCACACTCCGTGGGCACGCCTGCGGGCCCCCTAGCTGTGGGTGCACCCCGGGTCTTCTTGGGCCCAGGAGGGTGGGTGACCTTGGTGGGTCCCTGTGTGTGTCCCCTGCAGGTGTTCTCCGTGGCGCCCCCGTTCGAGGTGAACGGTCTCCCACGAGCTGTGCCCCTGAGCCTGCCCTACCAGGACTTCAAGAAAGACCTCTCCGATTACCGGGAGCGGGCTCGCTTGCTCCACAGGGTCCGGAGGGTGGGCTTCTCCCACATGCTCCTCGCCGCCCCCCAGGCCCCGCTGAGTCCCCTACAGCCTCAAGCTAATGGGAAGGAGGAGGAGGAGGAGGAAGAGGAGGAGGAAGAGGAAGAAGAGGAGGAGGAGGAAGAGGAAGAAGAGGAGGAGGAGGAGGAAGGGGAGGGGGAGGAGGAGGCAGTGGCTCTGGGGGAGGCGCTGGGGCCTGGAAGTGGGTCCAGCAGCGAAGGGAGCGAGAGGAGCACCGACCGGAGCCAGGAGGGCGCCCCGTCCACACTGCTGGCCGACGACCAGAAGGAGTCCAGGGGCCGGGCCTCCGTGGCCGACGGGGACCTGGAGCCTGAGGAGGGCTCCAAAACCCTGGTGCTCGTCTCCCCCGGTGACATGAAGAAGTCGCCTGTCACTGCCGACCTGGCCCCTGACCCTGACCTGGGCACCCTGGCTGCCCTCACTCCTCAAAACGAGCGGCCCCAGCCCACAGGCAGCCAGCTGGATGTGTCTGAGCCAGGCACCCTGTCCTCCATCCTCAAGTCTGAGCCCAAGCCCCCTGGGCCTGGGACAGGGTTGGGGACCGGGGCAGTGACCACAGGGGCAGGGGGAGTGGCAGTCACCTCCTCACCCTTCACCAAAGTTGAGAGGACCTTTGTGCACATTGCAGAGAAAACCCACCTCAACGTCATGTCTTCCGGTGGACAAGCCTCACGGCCCGAGGAGCTCAGCTCTGGGGGCGAGCTGGGCCTGGAGGTGCCCTCTGATGGGAGGGCTGCAGAGGAAAGAACCTCTGTGCCCCTGGAGAATGGCATTGCCCAGTCAGGGCTGGAGAGCTATGCCCTGTCTGGCCCTCCTGGGGACACCCCCTTGGAGGTGGCCAAGGACTCACTGCCCAATGGATCATCGCTTGCCGACGGGCCAGCCCCAGCATCCCTGCTGGAACCAGACCCCGAAAAACTGGCCACCATCTCCCCCAGTCACCGTGCCACGCCAGGCCCTCGCTGCAGGAGCCGTATACCTGTCCTGCTGTCTGAGGAGGACACAGGCTCGGAGCCCTCGGGTTCACTGTCGGCCAAAGAGCGGCGGGGCAAGAGGGCGAGGCCACAGCAGGACCTGGCACGGCTGGTGATGGAGAAGAGGCAGGGCCGGCTGCTGCTGCGGCTGGCCTCCGGGGCCTCCTCCTCCTCCAGCGAGGGCCAGCGCCGGGCCTCTGAGACACTGTCGGGCACCGCCTCGGAGGAGGACACGCCTGCCTCTGAGCCCTCCGTGCCCAGCAAGGCCGGGCGGGCAGCTGCCACCCGCAGCCGGATTCCCCGCCCCGTCAGCATCCGCATGCCCACGCCTGCCCCAGCCCAGCAGTCCCCTGGCAGACCCCGTGGTGCGGCCCCAGCATCTGACACAGCCATCACCAGCAGGTGAGAAACCACTGCCAGCCCCAGGGACTGCCCCAGAGCCAAGACTCAGGAAGGACCCCCAACTATACCTCCTGTCCCCCGCCTCCCCAGCTAGGTCTCTCTTCTGACTCAGGTCCCAGCCCTGCCCCTGGGTTCATGGGGTGGACACAGTGAGCATGCCTGGAGGGGTGCCAGGGAGGCCAGGTTTGGGAAAGGTTGATGGGAGCCTCTGGTGTGCCATGGGGCATTTGAAGCTAAATAGGAGGAAACTTTATTTTAATATAAACATGGGTATATTATAGAGCAGAATGCAAACTCCATGAGAATTCGAAAGATGAAACACAGGCCTCAAGGAAAGCCTGCAGCAAGCTCTGCCGGAGGGGCCTGGGAGGGCGTGGCCCTTAGAGGTCCTGCCCTGGAGGATGGAGCATTAGGCCTCAGTTTATCCATCTGTGCCATGGTCTCAAACAGGTTTGAGGATGCAGGACTCCAGGGCTCGGTGCGATTCTGAAAATGTCTCTTCTCCGCCCCTCTTTTCTCTTGTTTCTCTCCTCCGCTCCTCCCACAGGCTCCAGCTGCAGAAGCCCCCAGGGTCGGCCATTGCTGCTGACCTCCGTCCCAAACAACCCCCGGGCCGAGGCCAGGGCCCAGGGCGAGCCCAAGCCAGCACCAGGTCCCCAGCCCCGCGCAGTCCGGGCCTCCCCGCCTCCACCACTCGCAACTCCAGCGCGTCTCCCCGGAGCCAGTCCCTGTCCCGCAAAGAGAGCCCCTCCCCCTCGCACCAGGCCCGGCCCGGGGGTCCCCCACCCCGGGGCGCCTCACAGGCCCAGGCCGAGCCTGATGGCACCTCTTCCCCAGGGGTCCCCAAAAAAGGACCCAGAGGGAAACTCCAGACTCAGCGCTCAGCAACCAAAGGCCGGGCAGGTGCGGCGGAGGGCCGGGCGGGGGCCAGA